AGCTTACATCATTTTTATGTAACTAATTATAATGAGAGGCAACATTACATAGTAGAGTAGACAAAAATAGGTTCAAACTCTGGTTCACCACTTTTTAATTGCTTATCGTTGGGTTTACTCCAAATCAGCAAATGAAGAGTAATACTTGCTTTATCTTCTTTTATGTAGAGCACTTGGCACAGAGTATGTTGTTCAGCAAATGAGAGTTAATGCTTTCCAGTTTTTTCCTTTTCCAAAGATTAGCCAAAACTTAAGTTTAGAATTGTAAGAATTACCTCTTTCTAACTATGTATTTTGAGTGTCTAACTTAATTTTTATTAATTGGTAATCATATTGGTTCCAGAATAAAGCTATATATTTGAATTTTTCTACTTTTTTAGAGTTAGTCTTAAAATCAGAACGTGGATGCTTTACTTGGTATTATCTTTACAAAGAATCATTGTTCTGTATATAAACTATAAGAAATGAAAAATGCCTTGGAAGTCATATAGATGAGTAGTTCTAAAATATCTGTTCCTGGACTGGTGCCAGTCCATAATAAAGTTTTCACCAGCCCCCAGTAGAGAAGAGTGGAGGTTTTCATGTAACCAAGATTTTCATACAACTACATTTACTGAATTAAAAAAAAAAAATCTTTATTCTGAGATTATTTATTTCCTATTTTTCTGCTTTATAATGTTTTCTTTTGTGTGTGACTCTTCCTCTTACATACTTTTTTGTCATCTCCATGTGTTGTCACCACTTTTTCTTTTCTTTTTAAATTCTTTTAAGCATTAAAGACTTTTGCCACCAATAATCAGATAAAAATGCATGATAGAAGGTTTTGGTAAAGTCTGGAAATCACAGTGCTAAACCAGCCTCTCCCCTACAACAATTCCTTTTAAAGCATTACTGAGAAATGTTCATATTTTGATGACTTCTATCTTCGGTAAATAATTTTCTATATGCATTCCAAAAGATAAATTTGTCAAAAAACATTATGCTGCTTATAACTTTAAAATAATCAAGAAAAACATGAAATATTTATTTTCAAAGAAGAGTAACTTCAAAGACAAAAATTTAAAAAAAGGAAAGTATTTGCAAGGTAGAAAAAAGTCCTTAAAATATCAAAGGTAAGATGTAAATTGGAAAAAAGAAAATGTGTAACTTTACCAGAATGAATTAATAGGATGGTAAAAGAATTCCATTTATCTCCATATAACTTTTCCAAACATCGAAGGGCACAAAGTGTGGATCCTCCATTTCCTTAAAAATGAAAGTAAAACCACAACTTATTTCTTAGAAACCTGCTGAAAATTTGTTATTATGGTAAGGTTTGGTGTTATAACTTTGAGGATATGGCCTTTGGCTATAATTAAGTAGGCAGAGAGCAAAGGTAGAGGCAAAAGAATCAAGTTAAATACACATTTTACAGCATTTAAATAAATAAACAATTGGAAATGAAACCCAGAGATCAGCACTTGGTAATAAATGATGAGATTATAATCTTCTCTTGAAAACAGTAATTAAAACAGGAAAAATGATAAATTAGGCAATCTGAAACAGTGGAATACTCTAAGTATACACATTCATTTGGAGTTACAAACTGAAAAACCCATTAAAATAATTCCCCCCCACATGACATAACCAAAGATTTGAGTTAGATGTCCTTTCTAAAAAGTTTCTTAGAGGAGCACCTGGGTGGTTCAGTCGGTTGAGTGTCAGACTCTTGACCTTGGCTCAGGTCATAATGGCTCAGGACATGATCTCAAGGGTCCTGATTCAAGCCCCACCCCAGGGGCTGCCCTGGTATCAGGGATCCTGCTTGGGATTCTTTCCCTCTCTCTCTCTCTCTGCCCCTCCCCTGCTCATGGTCTCTAAATAAACAAACAAACAAACAAACAAACAAACTCAAAAAAAATTTTCTTAGAACCTGGTGTCCTAAAATACATCTTAAACATAACTACACTTACTAGTTACCTTGTGCAGGTTATTTAACATTCTGTGCCTCAGATTCCCATCTATAAAATGGGAATTATTAAAGTACTGACTGCACCATTGTGAGGATTAAAACACTGGTTAATTAGAACAATGCTGGTATCAGATATAAATATCCCATATGGTATCAGGGGCTTTAGTTTTAAGTATCACATGGAAAATAGCCTCCAGAAAAATAGCACATATTTTCTTGCAATGAAGGTCAAAAGGCATAGCTGACTTAAACTGGGTTTTGAAAGTAGTATCTATGATATTAGGCCATTATATTTTATATATATATATATATATATATATATACATACACACACATATGTGTATACACATATATATGTGTGTGTATACGTGTGTGTATATATATATATATGTGTGTGTGTGTGTGTATATATATATATATATATTATATATAATGGCCTAAGTATCATAGATACTACTTTCAAAACCCAGTTTAAGTCAGCTATGCCTTATGTGTATATACACACATATATGTGTGTATATATGTGTGTGTATATAGTGCTGATTTGCAACCTTCATGTAAATCTCTGAACAAACTATGGAGTTAGGAGGGACCTTAAGAACCCTACTGATAAAGTCCAAAAGAATATTTAACATTAATTTTAAAATTTTATTAAAATAAATTTTGTTTTAATTTTATTAAAACAAATAATATTCTTTTCTTAATAACATTCTGCAAGTTTTTCATGGTAAGTCACAATGTGTAAACAGTTACTATGCCTTTTTCTTAAAAAATAGTAAATTTACATTAAATTTTTAAAGCCTGGAAAGACTATGGGTAGAAAGATATAGGGCTCATCAACTGTGAGCCATAGGAAAGCTTTTCTTCAGCAATCATTCTGTTCAGAACCTATGATATAAATCTGATTATATATAGCATACCTATTTTGGCTCCAGCAGGGTCAACAAAAACATGATACTGGACTCCAAGGGGTAACTCCTTTTTTTTCAGCTTTTCTGAGAGCTGTTGCTTATAAGCAAATTCCTGTTTTTCATCAGCTGCTGTTATTGCAACAATGTCCCAGAATTCTCCAGATGCCACAGGTTTGCCTGTGTGAAAAAGCAAGGAAATGAGTATCAGAAATCTCTAGCTGTTACAAATTTGCCTATTAGAAAGAAAAATGAAAAACTATCTTCATACACTTAACTTCTTTTCAGAATTACGGAATAATTAGTGGCTAGCTAGTTTGATTCAAACTATTTCTACTGAAGATTGTTCACAAATTTTGCATTTTCCCCTTTTAGATTACTTGCTCCTTTCATGGTCTACAGTCCATTTATTTAAATATTCTGAAAGTTGCTATGTTTCTTGATTAAGAGAAGTATTCTTGCCTTGCTAAAAATTACCTCAATTCTTAAGTAAGAAGAGGAGACAAAAAGAATAAACGGGGGTGCTTAGATGGCTCAGTCAGCTATGCCTCGGATTCTTTATCTCGGCTCAGGTCATGATCTCAAGGTTCATGGGATCAACCCCCAGTCAGGCTGTATACTGTCAATGCGGGGCCTGCTTGGGATTCTCTCTCTCCTTCTCTTTCTGCCCCTCCCCTGCTCGTGCTCTCTTCCCCAAATAAATAAAACTTAAAAAAAAAATGAATAAATGAATCTCCAGCTGTGAAAAGCAATTTTCACATATTAGGACCACTTAGTGTTTGTTGGCTGAGTAAGATTCAACCCAAGGATCTATTCCTACAATGTTACTGTTTATAAATTCAGGTACTTTATTTTTTATTACCTGAAGATGAGCCATGCAAGTTTACAAAGGCTTTGAAGTATGACCTAAAATTCTGCATAACAGAAAAGTTCCCAAGTCCCTGATGCACTCATTTAAAAACAGACTAAACTGACGCTCTTTGTTGGTAAAAAAAGACGAATAAAGATTTTAATTGGGGCGCCTGGATGGCTCAGTCGGTTAAGCGTCTGACTTCGGCTCAGGTCATGATCTCACAGTCTGTGAGTTCGAGCCCTGCGTCAGGCTCTGTGCTGACAGCTCAGAGCCGGGAGCCCATTTCAGATTCTGTGTCTCCCTCTCTCTCTGCCCCTCCCCTGTTCATACTCTGTATCTCTCTGTCTCAAAAATAAATAAACGTTAAAAAAAAATTTAAAAAAAAAGATTTTAATTAGTTAACAGTTTTTGTCAGCCAGAATCTATTATTCCTAAATATTTTATTATTTATATTTTTAATGCAGAAACTTCACCAAAAATGACTAATTTTATTAGATAGTTGTATAAGGAATGACAAATAGCACAGTCTTTAAAAAATTTTATTTGATACAAATTTCCCCTTTTAAATTTTGACCCATAATTCTTCCATGTCCTGATTTTTACTCAGTATGCATTCATAGCATGTAACAAATTGGTGAAGTAGGCAAGGGGATTGGAGAAGGCTAAAATAATATTTGTAATGGTCAAATACTGAGCTTTAGACAGTTTAGATTTATCTAAAGTAACTTTTGTTAATAGGCTAACCAAATGTGTAACTTGGATTGATAGCCTCACTAGTCAGAATAATTTTCTTTCTTCTCCTTTGTTTTGATATATATATGTTACTAAAAATAAAGTAAAAAAAAAATAAAGTAATAACATGACGCAAAGAAAGGGCAGTGACAGAAGAATAAAAAGATCAAGCCGAGTTATTAGCTATAAAGCCGAAGGTGAGCAGACCGGAAGTGATAGTCCAGCAAATTTCCCGGCACGTAAAGTTCCCTCCCTGTCCATTGCCGCGGAAAGCTGGGGTTCCCCCTTTGCTACCTCTCAGTTCTGAAAACCTCTGCAATTTTCGCTGGGTGGCTTCTCGCAGAGCTACGCCTAAGAGCGCGTTTGCAGCAGCCATAGCAAAACTTCCCCCGAGACCAGCTGAAGCCTTCCAGGTATCCTCCGACTGGAGCAGCACGCATGCGCCTCAGGATGTAACCCGTTCCTGGGTCCGGTTTGCCTCTGTTCCGCCCCTTACGTGCGTCACTCACGTAACCACGCCCCCAGAGCGGTGGCCTGCCGGGAGAAAATCCTGGGGGTCAGAGTGCAAAGCCTTGCCGTGTTTCCCTAGCAACGGTCTCTGGAGCAGATGGCCACCTAGTGATTTGTCGGACTGTGCCGGGTCTGGGCCTCTTGTTCCCAACTCATAAGGCTTTGCAGCCCTGTTGACCCGGTGAGTTATTCGGGTTGAGTGATAAAATTGCTAGAACTGACCCGCTGAGAAGACAAAAGTACAACCTAGCTTCCAGCTTTCCTTCGAAAGGTGGTTCGTCCTTTCAACTCGTGATTTGTTTCAGATTTGTTTTAGCGGGGAGCAGTTCCCAAAGACGTCTTTATAGTTAATTCCTCCCTCAGGGTTGTTATCTGAAACAATCTGCACCAAATCCAGATCCAGATGTACAGTCTCAACATTCAAGATCTATATTCTCTTAAGGAACCTTAGGTTTGTGGCTTCTTTGCCCTTGTGTTTCTTAGTAAGTGAGCCTCTCCAACCCTCTCAGTTTTGAGTTCACTTCATAGGCTTTTGTCCATTGTATAAAATTCAGTCTGCAACAGATCTCTTAACATTCGTGGTTTTGGTTGCTTCAGCTGTCATTCTGTTGTATATGCGGATTGATCAAGAACTTTAAATAACATTACTGGGAATAAGTCAGACTTACTAGATGCATTTTGGTAGATACCTGTAAGTATTTCTTTTGTAAAGCACAAGTTTATAATGAGTTTTACAGATGAACCTATTCATGCTTACATACAACAATTTTAAGAAACAGGCCAATAGTCAAGGGCTCACGATCAGTAGAAGAGGAGATTTAAGCACGCTACTTGAATCCCAAACCCAGAACTCATCTACCACATCATGCAGTTTGATTTATTTCAGAAACCTGTCTTCCTAAAGCCTTCATCAGTAACACAGGTGGACATTCAAGGCCCTATAAGTTCTTGCCATGAACTTTACTTAGTTTTTTTTTTTTTTCTAAAGGCTTCGCTCTGCATTTAATTCTGTACTTAAAGTACATTTCAGTAAAAATGGAGATTACTCTTTCATAGTTTCGCCGTTTAGAAGTTTTGTGTTGTTAATAAAAACAAAACATTAAGAACATTTATATGATACGACTTGAGTGAGGTGAGAGTGAACAAAAGGGAGTGAGTGATAAAGATCAGAGAGGTGAAAAACCCCTAAAGAAGGGATTTTGTTTTATACTGTATACAACGAAGCCATTGCAGAGTTTTTATGTGACTTGCCTTATGTCTAAAAAGATCACTCAGAAATGTGAAAATAGACATAGTGGAGGGTAGGGCAAGGATAGAGTTGGTGAAGGCTTGGCAACGATGGTAACAGTGGGGATGCTGAGAAATTGATTACATTCTGGACATATTTTTGAAGGCACAACCAATACAATTTGCTAATGATATGGTTGTGGAATGTTAGAGAATGAGAGGGGTCAAGACTGACCACCTCAAGGATAGAACAGCTATCAGTTGAGATGGGAAAGACTGCGGATGGGGAGTGTTGGTGGAGTAGTGGGGAGAGTCCAGAGTTTGCTTTTAGACATGTAGACTATATAGATATATGTGTATGTCACGCATATGTAATGAAAGTTTGTGTGTGTATGTGTCTGTAGGCATTACACATATGACTCCAGGGTTCATAAGAGAGGTCTGGGCTGGAGAGAGAATTTTTTGAGTCCTCATTGTTAGAGACAGTGTGAGGCTATGTGCCTGTGATTCTGCAGTTCACAGACCTCTCCAGAGGGATAACTTTAAGGTTGGGTTAGAGTTAATGGAATTAATTTTAAACTACTGAACTAGATGAGATCCTAGGGGAAGAAAGGTGAAGTTCAAGGATTGTGCATAGTAACAAGGTAAACAATGAAAATGTGACCAAATAAGAAAATTTTGGATAGTGAGAAGTGTGAAGGGACTAGAACAGGCTGATGTAATAGACTGTATTACATAGATTATTAAATACAGCATTCTTGGGACCTGGAAAGGATGGCCATAGAAATCAATATTATTTTTTCCTGATATGATTACATTATTCATATAAAATGTGTTGGAAGTAAATATACCACCTTATCAACTATGGTTTTTGTTCTTCCCTCTTTTTTTTCTCAACTGTTCATTAATATTAATTTTTAAGTAAAAATGAAAAAATATTGAATACCATATTAGTGGGAGTAATTTCGTTGGAAGTAGATTTTGGGGGGTAAAAATATCTAGGAATTTAAGTTTATGTTTAATATAATCAAACAGTGTGATATGGTTGTTTAAATAGTCATAAGGTACGGTAACCACAATAAAATATGCTAACACAGCTAAGTAGTAAACCCATTAATTCTTTATAAGTAAAACACATTGGAAATGACATATTTAATCCTGGATTCCACATTTTGAAAGGGATGTCAGACAAACTGAACTATATAATAGTTGAAAAATGGTATTTTGTGGAGACATTTGGGCTTTTTTTGTGTGGGAGGAGAGTAGAGAGTATCTGAAGAAGTACCGTAACGAAGAGTGAGATAGATTTTTAAAAGAATTTTACTGAGGCATAATTTATATGACATTAACTTAACCTGTTGTAAGTGAACAATTTAATGATTTTTAGTAAGTTTACTGCGCTGTGCAACTGTCACCCCAATAAGATGCTTATGCTTGTTTAAAATTTTTTTCAACGTTTATTTATTTTTGGGACAGAGAGAGACAGAGCATGAATGGGGGAGGGGCAGAGAGAGAGGGAGACACAGAATCGGAAACAGGCTCCAGGCTCTGAGCCATCAGCCCAGAGCCTGACACGGGGCTCGAACTCACTGACCGCGAGATCGTGACCTGGCTGAAGTCGGACGCTTAACCGACTGTGCCACCCAGGCGCTCCGCTTATGCTTGTTTAGAGTTAATTCCAGTCAGGTTGTTCCTATTACTATGGGCATAACTATGACTGTTGTGTGGAAGTTGTAGAGAAGAATATTAATTTTGTTTCCAAACATTTTTTTTCCTTCACAAGAAGAAACTGGAACTAAATGAAGAGGGTTCTAGATTGTGCACCACGATTCTCTTGGTGCATGGTTTGATCAGTTCACGCTAGGGCTCTGATCTTTTCCATTCCTTGTGTTTCATCTCTCTGCACAACCACTGTTCCTCCTCCTACTCTTTCTGACATGCAGTATAAGCAAAAATATCTTTTTACTCTTCCATTTATTTGAATTTATTTATTTGGCTAGCGTGTTCTAGCCAAATAAAGTATTTTTTTCCCACTGTATCCTGTTGAAGGAACCCTCACGTTTCTCACCTTTCTGGAGGACCAAGGAAAAAATTTTATCCCCCAAACTTCTATTTGACATCCTCCTTTATTATTTTTTAAGACTTTATTTTTTAGAGCAGTTTTAGTTTCACAGAAAAATTGAGAAGAAAATTCAGAGATTTCCAATATACTCCCACATAATTCACATGTGCATAGCCTACCTTGTCATTAACATCCCCCCACCAGAATGGTACATTTGTTACAGTTGATGAATTTATATTGACATGTCACAATCACCCAAAGTCCATAATTTACCTTACATTTCACTCTTGGTGTATAGTCTATGGGTTTGGACAAAGTATGATGACATGTGTTCATCATTATAATATTCAGAATTGTTTCACTGTCTAAAAATCTGTGTTCTGCCTAGTCATCCACCCCGTGAACTCTGCCACCACTAATCTTTTTACTGTCTCCATGGTTCTGCTTTTTCCATAATGCCATATAGTTGTAATCCTATACTACATAGCCTTTTCATACTGATGTCTTTCACTTAGTAGTGTGCATTTAAGGTACACTATGTCTTTTCATTCTTGATAACCATTTCTTTTTAGTGCTGAGTAATAGTCCATTATCTGGATGTGCCACACTTTATCCTTTCAACTACTGAAGGACATCTTGGTTGTTCCCAAATTTTTGCAATTGTGAATAAAGCTGTTATGAACATTCATATGGCAAAAGATGAATACCAAGAAGTGCAATTACTGGATCTTATGATAAGAGTATATTTAGTCTTATAAGATACGGCCAAACTGTCTTCCAAAGTTGCTATACTGTTTTGCATTCCTACCAGCAATGAATGACAGTTTCTGTTGCTACACATCCTTGCCAGCAGTTTGTGGTGTCAGTGTTCAGGTTTTGGCCATTCTAATAGGTGTGTAATGTTATTTCATTGTTGTTTTAATATGCATTTCCCTGATGACATGTGAGGAGGAACCGCTTTCATGTACTTATTTGACATCTGTATATCTTTTTTGGTGAAGTATCTATTTAAGGTCTTTGGCCCATTTTTAAAATCTGGTTGTTTATTTCCCTTATTGTTTAGTTTTAAGTGTTCTTTATATATTTTAAATAAAAATCCTTTATCAGATGTATCGTTTGCAAATATTTTCTCCCATTGTGTAGCTTGTTTTCTTATTCATTTGACATTACTGTTTGCAAATTATGTCTTTAATTAATTTTTTTATTTAAAGGAAATAATTTTTCATTAAGTTTTTAACTTTAATTCCAGTATAGTTAACATACAGTGTTATATTGGTCTCAGGTGTACAATGTAGGGACTCAACAATTCTCTACATTACTCAGTGCTCATTGGTCTAAGTGTACTCTTTAATCCCCATCACCTACTTCAACCATCTCCCTGCCCACCTTCCTCTGGTAACCATCAGTTTGTTCTCTTAGAGTCTGTTTCTTGTTTTTTATCTCTCTGTGTCTTTAATTTTAATGAAGTATAGGTTATAAAATATTTCTTTCATGGATTATGATTTTGGTGGTGTATCTAAAAGGTCATTATTATACCTAAGGTCATTTAGATTTTCTTCTAGGTTATCTTCTAGGAAGTTTATAGTTTTGTGTTGTCATAGATCTATTTTAAATTAATTTTTCTGAATGTGTAAAGTCTGTGTCTACATTCATTTTTTTTTTTTTTGCATGTGGATGTCCAGCTGTTTCAGCACCATTTGTTGAAACTCCATTGTATTGTCTTTGCTTCTTTGTCAGAGATCAGTTCACTATATTTCTATTTCCAGACTCTATTATATTCCATTGGTCTAATTTCTTTTGTTTTGACAACACAACATTGTTTTTGACTACTATTGCTTTATAGTAGGTCTTGAAGTCTGGTAGCATCATTCCTTCAAGTTTGTTCTTGAATA